AGTTGCTTTGCAATGATTTGTATCGTGAAAAGCGCTATACAAATAAACTTGAATTGAATTGATTTAAAACTTGAATTGATGCGGCCCGAGCCTGAGTACGATTGTTCCTGTCGCCCCCCGCAGCGTTGGTCTGGTTTCACACTCACTTGATTCTTGTTTACTATATGTTAGGGACGTGCAAATTAACCGTTTAACCGAAAGTAAAAAAAAAAAGACAGATTAATACTATCAGTTTAAAAGATTATTATTTTTTTTAAAATATTACTTAAAAAATATTATCAACGAAATACACGGCGGCCTTGAGTGAGCGGAGGCGGGCGGGCTTGAGAATGGCACGGCCGGCGGATTCGACGAAGGAGCAGCCGGCGGGCTTGTGGCAACCACATGTGACGACCCCGGGCTGGACTCCGCTTCGTCCACGGTGAAAGCCGATCGGGCAAAGCGCACCGCTCATCACTGTCAGTTTTCAGTCAGCCATCCAATCACGGTGGAGGAGGGGCGGGGCAAATACTGCACTGACCAACTGTCACACCCTACTTGTACTTCGACTGAACTACAATGGAGAAGTCAATATTGACATATGAAATGTATTATGAACATACATATGAACATTTCATTCGTGATATGTGTTCCACATTACTTCAGCGGCTATTCTGTATCACAGCAACCAAAGCACCTCCGTAGCACTCGCAAGAGTTCACAGCTAGGCATTTTCAGAAGAGCGCCTGCCGATTTCAGCTGGCTAAAAATGCTTTGGTTGACACACGGAATAAGGAGCCGTCTTTCACCCGATCATGTACATGTACATGTTGTTGTTTTGTTTTTTTTCAACAAGAACATCTGAAACGATGCAAACACGATGCCGACTCGAGTGCATGTACATGCCTTATAGCAGTTTTTTTCATTCGCTCTACACTCTGCGTTAAATGCTTTTTTCTGTACATTTTTTTTTATAAAAAATTATCAATTCTTTTGAAGCATAAAGTGCTACATAATGATGTGTTCGAACCATCATCAGCGACATTACAAAGACTAAAATTAGCAATAATTTAATTCTTTGCTTATATTTTAATTATTGATTTTATCAATGAGTTGTTGCAGCCCAAGTATATACACATCAAGCCACATTCAAATGAATGCTCAAACATCCAAAGTAGAGATATTACAGGCCAACCTGAAGAATAAGCTCTTTCACTGACACTAAACAATAGGGGGAAAAAACTCTGACCTTAATTACAGAGACGTCTGCAGGGCAATCTCTAACCAGTTTCTCTCAGTT